GCACTATCAATCTGAACTTCTTGTGCTCTTACTAAAGATTTTATGACTTGTAAGAGAAAAAATGCCCTCTAGAGAAATACATTGATTCAGTAGCATTCTAAATCAGGCACGTAAGCTAGATGTTAATGTGAGACATTTTAAGGCTACTTTATAGTTAAGGTAGCTTCTCTTCTCTTGCCTATTGCCTACACAGCTTATGTCAGTCAGGCTGCTAACTTCTACACAAATCCACTGTCTGCAAAGCTGTGTTGACATAAGGCAAGGTAATATGCTTCTATTTTTTCCACTTTGCAACTGAAATTGAACACTGACATCAGCAAATAAGAACATTTGCTCTGCTTTGTAAATGAAACCATTTGTTCAACAGCTTAAGTATGAGTAACTGTTAAAGCTCTATATTGTACAACAGTGCAATATTGTTAATACCATGATAGCGTACAGATGTCACAATGTTGAAACAGAAAAATGAAAGACAGAAGGAATTAATGAGAAATCCAGGACTTGAGTAAGATGAACAATGTATGACTGTTGAAGTAAAAAATAGAAGCGTCTGTAATAACATATGTATCTGAAAGAAATAAGGTAAAGTTATTAATAAATTAAAGTGCTAAGCCAGTACTTCCGGTCCTGTTCCTAGAGAATTCCAACTGGCAAAGGCTCTGGAAGCGTGGGTGCTCTGGAACACAGGACTTTGATTTGAAATCCTGACTTTCTGGGCACACATTGTAAATTGCTAGTGAGCTCATTTATAACAAAAAACCCCAACAAAACTCAAAAACCCTACCCCTCCTCTGCAAAACCCAAAAAAACCAACCCCAAATGATTCAAACAAAAAGGACTCTCCCTTTTACTTTTGGCATGCCTCTCACAAAAAAAAAATAAAACAAAATAAAATAAAATAAAAATTTGAATTGTTTTTAATTCTATTCTAAAGCATAATACAGAAGCCTGTGAGAATACAATTTCCTTCTATTTTGGATGTATGATGTGATTTTCTATATTTTTAAAAAATAGTCCAAAGTGTTGGTTTGGTGTTTTGTTTTGTTTTTTCCCTAAACAAGAAACTAATTCTCCAGCTCAAAGAAATATTTAGAGATCAGCCCTTTACAGCTGAAGAAGTAGACAGCAGGATTCAAAGCAAGCAATTCAGATTTTGGAAGCACTTTATGAACTATGTCCTGAACCACTTATGTAGTCTAGCTGATTTTTTTTTTGTTGTGCTTTTTAAATAAACAAAATGAGAGCAGCAGAATTAATGTATGTTTAAGATTTATGAGATTAAAATAATAAAGTAAAAAATATGACACAGTAATGTAAATGGTTACCATTTAACACAGAATTCTGAAGTAAGAATTCCAGGCAGCTGTAGCTTTGTTCGCAGAACCGATAAGTTGTGTTGTATGATAGCATTCACATAGTTTAGTATTCACAAGAAAAGTTAAGAGCATTTGTTTTCCATTTTGTTTTAAACTTAGTAAATGACAATGTGACATTGTAGTGGTTGTGAGGAAAGCCTATTTGACCAATTTTTTTTTCCTTCCATTAAATGAATAATAATAATAATGATAATAATAAAAAGTAATCCCTGAAGACACTTCTCTGATTTAAGTGAGAAAAAAAACAAATAACAATGAAGAATGAACTACAGTTTATTCAGATACTAACCTCAAACACTGAGCAATTTTAACTGCATTGAGTAGCCCACTAATTTAATCTGTAATGCCCTGAAAGTAAACAAGCGGAATGAAGCTCATTATTGTAAGAAATGTTTGGCATTTCTTGACTTAGTAAGTCAAGAAATGTACAAAATATCATTTTAACATAATAAAGCTTATTTCCAAGGTGATCACTAACATTTATTTCCTGCAACATATGCAGAGAGCAAAAAACCTATGTATTGCCACAGCCATTTTATTAGACTAAAAAAATATTATTGGATCTACACATATATACCACTGGACTCAGTTTCATTTTGGCATCCATCTTCTATTGAAAAGTGCCTCAGATAAAGACTTGTGCAGAGAAAATGAAATAAATATGTACTCAGGGCATGGAGTTTTTTGATTTACATGTTTTGTACCTTTGATCATCTGTGTTCAGAATCAAAGAATAAATAGAAAAATTGGCACAGAATGATTTCAGAAGATTAATACTGCTCTGACCTCCCTTGAAATATGTATAATGAATCAGAATAAGAAGAATTAAAACACATCAATTTTTTCTGAAAATGAATTTAGTAACACTTCTCCTTACTATTTAATTACCTTATTTGTAATAAAATGAAGCACAGTAAGACTTGTTAAAGAATTTGAAAAGAACTATATAAATTTGGACTGTTTATATATAAACACACATATATATCCATGCTGAGATCCAGTTTATTTAATTTTAAATAAAAGATATCCTAACTAAGCAGAAATATCTAAATACTATTTGAAATCATCATGTCCCTAATTATAATTTCCTGTCTAGGCATATTAAAAAAAGGTTATTTTGTCTGGAATCCCTTACAGCACCACTCCCCTAAGAACCATTCTTGGGTGGCAACATCAAATGAAGTGCAACACAGTATGTTGATTTATCACCTATACCACGTTTCTTTTCCTGTTCTGTCTGTTATAACAATCTGATCCACATGTCTCCTGATAAGTAATGTTATTTACATTTCATTATAGATGCAAAACTAGATGCAAACCGCAACATAGATATTTTCTAGCAACAGGAAATCATTATTTTATCAGCCCTTATCCAGGTCAATATTTCTGTTCGGACTACTCACTTGTATATTTATTCTTTAATGTGAACAAACTCTCCAGATAATGAGTAGCTCCAAACTCAGATGGTCAGTCTCAATAAACAGAATTGTCATAAAGAGTTGCTGTAATATGCATTCATAGACTCTAACTGGAGTCAGAACAATTAGATGCTATCTGTTGATTTTCATAAATGCTCAGTATATTTATGGAAAGGAGACTCAGCCAGATATAAATCAGCATGGTCACAAATATTATTGCCATAAGAAAGCAAGCTCAAAATGTATATGTGTTCAAAAACCATAGAAAGATATTTATATTGAAGTAGTGGATTTTTATACTATAATTTCATTATACTTTCATTTGGGTGTTAGTCAGCATCAGTTGACTAACTGATGTTGTTGTTTACCTGTGAAGACTCTGCTTGAAAGAACACATACCAAAGCAAAATTAATAAAACCTGACACTTGACATTTCCCCCCACTGAACTGTTTAAAAAAAAGATTGAATTATCATAGAATGGTTTGGGTTGGAAGGGACTTCAAAGATCATCTATTTCCAATCCTCTGCTATGAGCAGGGACACCTTCCACTAGACCAGGTTGCTCAAAGCCTCATCCAACCTGGCCTTGAACACTTCCAGGGAGGGGGCAGCCACAACTTCTCTGGGCAACCTGTTCCAGTGTCTCACCACCCTCACAGTATAGAATTCCTTCCTAATATCTAATCTAAATTTATCCTCTTCCAGTTTAAAGCCATTACCCCTTGTTCTATCGCTACCTGCCCTTGTAAAAAGTCCCTCCTCAGACTTCCTGTAGATCCCCCTCAGGTACTGGAAGGCTGCTATGATTTCCAAAGATGCAGTTTCCCTATACAAACTAAACAGTAAACAAGACTACAGTGGAAAAATTCATGTAACAGATTTTTACAATGATTTTAGGAAAGTACATTTTAAAATTAATATATAGATTATTTAAGCATATCTGAATAGAGTCACTGACAGTCCTCATCTTCTGAAGGACTAGTGCTGTCAGGTTAAAAAGAAACTAGCTAAAAAGTGCATTTAATTGTCTGTTCTTGTTGTTCCTTTCATTTTCTTTCTATGGTTTGATTTTGTCACATGCAGTGCTCCCCTGTAACATTCTTGGTGCATTTCACTCCCATACTTTTGGGCAGAAGGATAAATAAATATTAACCCAGTAGGACCAGAGAGGATCTTTCTGGTTAGAAGATTATACCAGTAACTGCCTATGCTGAAAATTAATGGTCTAAAAGAAATACATGCATAATGCTATCTAGCTCCTCACCTCTGATATGGATATCATTTAGTTTCTGAATTAAAACAAAACAAAACAATAAAAACCAAGAATTAAGAATGACAACAATCTACATGAGATACTCAAGGTTCAAGGTAGCAGCTCGTCCTCATGTCTCCAGAATCTCCTGGATGTCAGGAAAAATTGTTAGCAATATTAGTTTTCTTCTGGACCAGTTCCAAGAGAATTTAAAATAAGACTAAAAATTCTGACAGCTTCAACTTAGTTACCATTAACATACTAACCAAACAAAATGTCTAGGTAGTTACGACTTTACACATATGAAGTGCAGAGATTAAATACGTCCATCCTACAGAATCAATTACTTTTTCAAAACTGAGAATTGAATTTAGTTATTGTTAATATTTAGACCTAGGTAAATATTTCTACATTATACACCAAAAGTTCTTATATGCTGTACTGATTTGTTACAAAAAGCTGTAAGATGTTACAACACTTATGTGAATTAATAATGCAGTTTCAATAGCATGCTCAGTAAAAAAAGAAAATTAAAAAAAAATTGGGTTTTAAGACATTGGTTAATCATGTATCAGAAATGCAAGATTTCTCTTGGCCTATGTCAGACTAACACTGCAGCAGAATACTTCTCAGCACAAATAATATTTCTTGAATTCTACTCAGTTCATATATTTAGTTTTGAGAGAGACTGGTTTTTTATACTTCTTTTTGCCTGGCATCTGACAGGCATTCCCACCCTTTGCGTTTACTTCACTTCACTTCCTCAAAGCTAAGGCTGCAAAAACACAGCCAGCAGCCTCATACAGTTTTTTTAACCTGGCACCTATCTTCACTGTATTTTTCACTCAGAGAAGTTTAAAAATCTGAGATGATCTTGAATATTTATGCCAATGAAGAAACTGATGAAAAGTATCTCCGCAAAAGAAGTAAATGAAAACAATGTAAACCATTACTGAAGTAGCTCTTCTTGTGAAAGCTCTGACGTTCTTTGCTTGCCAGTCACCAGTGCCAGCTCATCCTTCAACTCCTGGATCTCCTTTTTCAGCTGGACAATCATCTGTAAATAGCAAGGCATAAACCAAGCATCACCTACAAATTAATAAATAGCTTATAATTTTTGCATTAGAAGGCTGAGTTTAGGGAAACATGATACTTTGGTTTTCTCTTTTTTTCAAAAAAACATCTTTTTAAAAAAAAACAAACAGTCGAAATGCCTTAAACACACCAAGTACTTTTTTTCCTTTTCCATTTATAAAAACAAGAAAAGTCTTCCAAACACGGCAAATTCCACATGTTAGAAGACATGGCTATACAGAAAGAGTTCAAAAGATTATTTGCAAAAGAGAAAAATAATTTTCCATAGAAATAAAAAGAGCTTTCTGACTCATGAGTTTTGCCTGTTAGTAATGAAAATACATTCAAAATAGAACTGAAGTCTTTGTTAGAGAAAGGACAAACACACACCAGAAGTGGGGGTTTTTTACCTTCACTTTAGAAACAGATATTAGAAAACGATACCTTAGTATTTTAATCTTAACTTTTCTCTTTTTTTTTCATCTAACATTCCACTCTTATTAGAATTACAGCATACTATAATTGTAGGATGTATCAGTTGCTAAAAGCAAATTAATAGTACAAATCAGCATATGAAATTAAACTGCATTAATGAATAGTAATGATTGACAAAGTGACTTGGAGAACTATACTATATATTTAAATTCTAATAGCTCACTATTGGAGCCTGTATTTTTGGAAAAAAAATGCCTGTACAAAACTATATTTTATGAATCATTAGCTTCCCAAGGCCAGATTCTAAGAAGCAGGGACAATATGCAAAACCCTAAAACATGAATGAGCAAGTTCTTGGATACTTTATGACTGATCATTTTAATGATGCATTGCCTTATAAGAGCTGAAATGTGCCAGGAGTTCAATGATATTTGTAGATGGATATAAGTACACTTATTCCATGTGCAAAATAAGTTTCCAACAGAAGAATGTTTCCAAGGAAAAATAGAACTTAGAATCATAGTGGTTGTAGAAGAGCTTTAAGATCATTGAGTCCAACCATAAACCTAACACTACCAAATCCACCTCTAAACTGTCCTTAAGCACTTTGTCTACCTGTCTTTTAAATACCACCAGCAAAGGTGACTCCACCACCTCCCTGGGAAGCCTGTTCCAATACTTGACAACTCTTCTGGTGAAGAAGCTTTCCTTAATATCCAATCTAAACCTCCCCTGGCACAACTTGAGGCCTTTTCCTCTCATTCTACTGCTTGTTACCTGGGAGAAGAGAGCGACTCCCACCTCTCTACAACCTCCTTTCAGTTAGTTGTAGAGAGCAATAGGGTACCCACTCAGCTTCATTTTCTCCAGGCTAAACAACCCCAGCTCCCTCAGCTGCTCCTTGTAAGACTTGTTCTCCAGCCCCTTCATCATTTTTGTTGCCCTTCCTTGGATACACTCCAGCACCTCAATGTCTTTCCTGGAGTAAGGAGCCAAAACTGGACACAATATTCAAGGTGCAGCCTCACCAGTGCAGAGTACAGCAGGAGGATCACTTCCCTAGTCCTGCTGGCCACACTATTTCTGACACAGACCAGGATGCTGTTGGCCTTCTTGGCCACCTGGGCACACTGCTGGCTCATGTTCAGCCACCTATTGACCAGTACTCCCAGGTCCTTTTCTGCCAGGCAGCTTTCTAGCCACTCTTCCCCAAGCCTGTTGCGTTGCATGGGGTTTTTTGTGACCCAGGTGCAAGACCTGGCACTTAGCATTGTTGAACTTTATGCCACTGGCCTCAGCCCATCAATCCAGCCTGTCCAGCTACCTCTGCAGAGCCTTCCTACTTTCAAGTCGATCCGCACTGCCACTCAACCTGGTGTCATCTGCAAACTTAGTGAGGGCACACTCAATCCCCTCATCCAGATCATGGATAATGAATGAATTATTCTTGATAGCATTCACTTTCTAGAAATAAGATTGTTGAAATTGTTGATGTATTTTCACTGGATGTTAAAATTCCTTTAAACATTTGTATTTCTTTTAATGTTTAAATTTAATCATCTCTTCCTAAACTTTGAATGGGTATTTTTACTTTAAAAATCAAAATATTCTAAACATACATATGATTATTTCTTTTAACTCTAAACTTACTGGTAACACATTTGTTATGATAAAGTATGAAAGGATAACTTACAATATTTTATTTAAGAATCTGTTAAGGTGGTGACCTGTCAATTACAGATGTTGTAAGAGTGCTTCAAGAATATTGCAGGTCAAATATTTTAACCTGATCTTAGGTTGTCTCACTCTGGTGTCACACTCTGATGTAGTCTGTGCCAATTTCTGAGACAGTAAAATAAAATTTGGGGTTGGAGTATAAAAAAGCTATCATCCCTGTACAATGTTCAAATTTGTTAGCATGATTAACCTCAATCTGACAACAACAGAAATACCATTTTCAGGATATGGATAAAAGAATGATTTTCAAGTATTGTTAAGACAAACAAAAATCTACAGAAGCATAATATTTTCATTTTTATTTTTAAATGAATACCAGAGGAGATTAGATTTAATTCAGCCTGAACAGTTTTATCTTCTCTTAAACCAAATCCTTTGGTCATGAATGAGAGAAGTCCATTATGATGAATAAAGTTTACACAACAGTCAGACATAACTCAGATCTATCAAGAGATAATATGCATTCCCTTTATAAAGCATGCATTTAACTTATAGATGAAAAATACTGCAAATAAATAGCATTTGATTTTATGGAAAAGAATTGTAAGTCCAGCACCTTACTGAATAATCAGGTTTCACCCTGGGAATATACTTTAGGTAGTTAAGATGGGGAACGAATTACATGATGAGCTCAGAGCCATATGAAGTCTAGGTACCTATGTTCCCCTGCCTTTTCCACAAGAGGGGATGGTTTTCTAACTTTCACAGGTCCACTTTTGCTTTACTTGCTAAATGATCCTGCAGAGTGAAACATATCAAACTTGGGGAGTATAGCTCCACAGGATGTAGTAAATGCTCAGGAGCCTGCATGTGTTGCACCTCAACCAAAGGCTTCTGTACCCATGGAAGCAATGTTTTGCATGATTTGCTACTGTAAAGTCTACATAAGAAAGAAAAAGAAAAAAAAAAAAAGGACGGACAGAAAGAAATTAAGAAGTAGTTCTGTGCCTACTAGGTTTTTCTGGGTTTTTAAAAATTTATTTATTTATTGGCAGATTTTTTTGTTGTTTGTTTGTTTTTGTGATTCTCTTACTGTTAGAAATTGTTTCGGGGAAAAAAAAGAAAAAAAAAAAGAAACAGCAGAAAGACTGACAAGAATCTCCTATCCCTTTGAAATTCAAGGACAAGAAAAAATAAAAACAAAATCACTATCAGTAACTGAAATATGTAAATTACCATCAAGTAACAATGAATGAATTAATCAACCATTTAATGCCCTGTTTTTTAGACAACAAACCCTTCTTGCGTTATATAATCTAGCATTCTGCAGTGTAGCAGTCAAGAGGAAAGCATTTCCTATCCAGTTCAGGAGGACATATGAGAACAAAATCCATAAAACTTGTAATTCCAAATTAGTCCTAAGAAAATTAGACGTATAGTAATAATTTTTGCCATTAAAAAGAATTATTATGTGATTAGTATATCACAGAAACATACAGGAACACTGAAATGCGAATATTTCATTCAGATTATATATTCTTTAGAGGTGAAAAGCTACAGTTCAAATTTATAATTCTGTTGTTAAAAACTTTGTTTTAAATGTTGTCTGTTTATACATAAACAGAATAATATAATAGCTTAACTTGAACTTATTTTTCATCTGATGTCTCTGTCACAGAGACACAGGGTATGTTGAAATGCATCCATAGTTCTTTCTTCATTATATCCGTATATGCAGCTTTGGCCTGACTAGAGTCACCTTAGTCAAACGTTTCCCATATCAGAAAATATCTCTATATATACCATGAAACCCAGCTGATCCAGTAGCTATCTGCAATACTATATTGAATTAATCAATCGTTAATAGGTGTACTTAATGTTTACAAAGGAAAAAAAAATTCCAGGTAATACAAAAAATTACATTAAATAAAATAACAAAGGCATCTCTAATATAATAGAATGTATTACAGAGCACATTGCCAAACAAATCTTGTATGTAACAAGCTAGAGGCAGGAAAAATCTTTCAAAGGGAAGACTAACCAAATACTGAAATGAAAAAAATAAAGTACATTTTTGTTACATGCTTTAAAAGAAGAAACTTGTTTCTTTATGTAGCAATGCTTTGTGCTTTACCAATGTGGATTATTACCTCTATCCTTCTCTGTACTTTCTAAGTCCCAAGTCCATTCCGCAGGGCTCCTCTGCTCCTCTTTGGGATGTGAACATCAGCCTAATGCTTTAGTGTGGAAAACCTATTTCTACATCCTATTTACTTGTTTTCCTTTTTTTCTGATAGTAACTTCATAGAGGTCTTTCTTCCTAGCTAAAATGTTCCTTGGACCAATCTCAAGGAAGGACTACTGTATCTATGTGTTTCTTAGCTTTATACACAAACTGTTTCAGTGCAGCAGCATGCCTTCATCAAGTGACTAGTAATCTTAGTAGATTTTTTAAGAGTTTTAGGGACAGCCAATTATCTGTGACTACGACTTAGAAACTAACATCCTAAAAGAAGCAACACAGATGGTAATGAAAGTAACCATTGCTCCTCAGATGCCTTAAGAGCTGAGAAAGTCTTTAGAGGTTTTATAAAGGTCCATTTAATTACAATTATGTCCAAAAGAAAAAATAAAAATAGTAGGTACTTTATAGAAAAAATTGGAACTTCCATCTGAAAACAATTTAATGGTATGATTCAGTAAAATCCTCAACATCCATTTGACTGCTATTGATTACTAAAACTTCAAACAAGCAATTGCCTTCCCTCTGCCCCCAGTCAACTCTCACCAATCTGGGGTCAATTTCTTCATTAAGAACTGCTTCATTCTTAATAAGAGCAACTCGCTGTGCAAATCTGCAGGTTGATATAGATTCCTGGAAGAAAAAAAATAAAAGAGAGATAAAAGAAAAATTTCAGTTAGCTTTGCACCAAATAAATAGAACACAGTGCTTATGAAGTCATCAAACTAAGTTTCTGATTTCTGTATATTTTACAGATCTAATCTACCATTTCATATGCCAAACCAACAATATTCAAGGGAAATTAGGTTAGCATATTAATGACAGTGACACATAAAACCTTCAAATCATATTACATACTTTATTGATTTAGTCAACCCCCTGATCAACTGTGTTTCAAATCAGTCCCCAGCTGGCATTAAAGGATAAGAAATCCATACTATTCCAAAGGTTAAAACTTTTGAATTATGAGAAAATGAGAAAACTAACTAAAACCAATATTTTGGTGAAAATGGAACTAGAGAAACATATGTAAAAGAAGCTGGGAAAAGAGATGAAGGGAAGAAGAGTGGAAGTCCAGGACAAATAAGAAACAAGCTATGAGACTTGGAGCTAGGAGGTATACAGGAGAACTATGATACCACACAAAAAACTTTCAGATGAGCTACGATGAGGTGCAGGAGGACAGGAAGGTAGATTAAAAAGAAAAAAAAAAGACAAAAGACTGAGGTTGTGATGACAACTAGTGTGCATCCTATCTAAGGCACAGAATGAAATCGAGGCTCCCTAAGTATTGTTCTGTCCTTTGAGATCAGCTGATATTTACATGCCAGACCCTGACAAAGAACTTATCTACCTAATGAATAAAAAGCCAGCAATTGTTCTCAGTTGGCTCAAAGAATAAAACATCATTCAGTAGTCTTAGAAGTTCCAATGATGCTCGATAAGCTGTATGCTAGAATTTTCTAAGATGTGTGAGTCTGCATTTAAAATGTAAGAATTGACACACAACCCCTACATTAAGAGAACTTTACTACTGCTACAGACTTGTATTTCAGTATCAAAGTAATTTTTCAGTTTTCAGTACTCCAACATAGGAAAATACCAATTTAAATATATGAACATATACTCCTTTTTCCCCAGGACTTCTGTCTCTTCTGTGCTCAGAGGGTGGTATCTGAATCAGGGTTACATGATGAAAGACACTAGTGTTTATTGCCAAAGACATAATATATATACACAAAGAATCCAAGAGTTTTTAAGGAAAGAAAAGGAAGCCCTTACAATTAAGAGAGCTGCACACAGTCTTAGCTGGACTCTCTGTTTGCCTCTGCTGTTCAGTTCCTGTGCTATGATAATCAGCTAATGTGATTATAATTAATTTCTGTACGTATATTAAGTACAATTATATGTACAGTACACATATATATTTCCACCAGACCTCTTTGCCCTGTTCAGTGTGAAGCGTATGTTAAATTAATGAGTAGCTAACCCACTCAGTTTTCAATGTTCAGTATGTAAGCTTACAATCTATTTATTCTATGCCATCAAAATGGAAATCAAAGCTGAGAGCTACTAATTTCCTAATAATTTTTTGTGCCATGCTTATTGTTATAGTACCTGACGGCTTCACAAAAATTAATCAATTAACCCTCTAGGTATTGCTTTGCTGCAAGTAGGTGGAATGACTTAACAGAAGGGAAACTGAAGTCAAAAGTACCAAAAAATATTTGATTGTTAAATGATTTTTTTTGTTCAAACCAGCTTCCATTCAACTTCAGACACAGCTGTAATAATTAATATATCTACAATTCAGAATCAGCATCTTCTTTCAAGCACTCCACAAAGCTAGCACAAAAAATGTGATGTAGGTGATGTCATAAGCTGTATATTTCTACTTTTCGGTAGAATCAGGAAAATTATCTGGTTCTCTAGGATAATATTCTATTTGTTCACATCATGAAAGTGTCCTTTGAATTGTCTGCTTCATTGCTTTAGTTGCAAGAGAGAAAGCTAGGTCCTTAAGAAAGTTGCTTTTATTATATCACTTCACTTCTTACTTGGGGGCAATTTTGTCTTGTGCTTCCTCTGTGAATGAAATGTATACTCAATGGAAGAAAAAAAAAACAAACAAAAAAAGCAAACCAAACATAACTATGCATAATGATCCATAGAATTACAAACTTCAATTATGCAGCTATCCAAATTCTGACATTTTCTAATGCTTAGTAATTGACTTAACATCTATCCTAATATTGCTTGTACATATCAGATTTTGAGGAACAGAGTAGGGACTTTTTAATATATTTTTGGAGAAGAAGTTCTGTTGTGTAGGCGGTATATGTTAAAGCAAGAAGAAGAAAGCCTACTCTGGATAATTGCTTGGACTAAATATTCTCAAAATAGAAACCCAGATTGCAATGTGAGATACATACACCTGATGAACTGATATATGAAAGGGTGCCTATCATCTCACATGCCTAAAAAAATATTCATGAACAAACTTTATCCAGTTGCATTTGTAACCAGACATCACGCTTGCACAATTACATGTTTACAAGTCTGAACAATCTGTTTTAATTTAACAGTAAAGTCCATTTTCTAACGAAAAAAAGCTTCAACTAGAAGAAGTATGGTTTTAGTCTAATGTTTTTTACTGTATTTCAGAAAAAAGTCTTAGTTTTAATAGTTTTTTTCCTTGTTTATTCACATTAGAATGCTTTGATCTTATGGAAAATCAGGAAATAAATAGATTATAAATGGCTCTGAGCACAGTTTTACATATTCACATAGCAACATATTTAGGTAAACAAAGAGAAGAAAATAGCACTACATATAATTCCAGTGCAGGAAATTGGTGAAGGGAGATAAAAGTATTTGAAAAAATACCAAAAAATCTCAAATCATCCCACCCAATGCCCTCTCCTTCTAATGAACACTCCAGTTGTCTATAACACTCAGTGAAATCTCAAGTTTAAAGAAGTGTACAGAAGTTCTGCCAAGGCTTTCAGTGTGTTTCATAATCTACTTATAGATCTTACCAATATATCCTGTGGAAAATTCCTTGGAAATGCCTTTTCATAACTCAAAGGTCTATTCATCAGGAAAACACTACTTTTTTTTTTAAAAAAAAAACCAACCCAACAAAAAAAAGGTTCATTACTAGGTACAAGTTGTTTCCTAACTGCTCCTTGACTTGAGATTGCCTAGCACATTTCCTAAAGGAATTGTCTATGTCTTACTGCAATTTCCACTGATAAAATTATCTCCTGGAAACAAAATTAAAGCTTTTTTTTTTTTTTTTTTTAAGCATAAGAATAAAAGTACACACACTTGAATTGCAAACCATAATAAAAGTCAAAAGAGCAGGATCTTTAGAGAAGTGAAAGCATTTTTGTTGAAAATGGATGGAAATAACATACATCTATGTTTCTTTTGTCTATAGAGAGCGTTGCTATCATGGTAGTCATGCAGTTTCCCCCCAGACTGTCTCTTAGCACTGAGGTCATCATAGAGTTTCGGTAAGGAATGTGGGATCGGTTTTTCTCTGCAAGGGCAATTATTACCTGAAACAATAATAAAAATGGAAAAGACTTCTATATTTACATGTCTAGTAATGATTGGCATAAAAAATTGAAAGACCAAGTAAATTTAATTTTATCATACCCTAGCTTTACAGCCTTCTCAGCAACATGGAAACTGAACACAATAAACTAAAACCCACAAAGTTTCCTAAGATCACAGGAACTTACTCAAAAATCTTCCTCGTATTTTTCCTATCATAATAGTAAAGTAAGAAGAGTATTCAAGTGAAAAAATCCTTAATATTTGCTAAAGTATGCTTTTAAAATTACACATTCTTAAAGCACATGGTTCTTTGAGGAGTCAATACATTTATTTCTGAGAAAATGCCTTGAAAAGTAAGAAACAAATAAAAGGGTGCATGATTATTATGCTGGAAGGAAATAATTCATTTTAGAATACATATGCCTTGGCCAAAAAGGAAATGGTACACCTACTATTCTCAGTTTTGCTTCTCAACTTTTTACATTATGTGACCTATTCATTATTAAATAAAAAGCAAGATTACCCCATGATCTGTTGTGATACAAAGGATTTGAACTGTTAACTGGCCAAGCACTGTACTAAAAAACTGTGGCTATATGAGTTGTGCGAGCTATCCTAAATGATTAGGAGTTGGTTTTCCTTTAATAAATGTTACATACCAGCATATATTTTGTTTACGCTGCACTTAAGAAAATTGTTATTTTAGAAAATTTAGTAACGACTTTTTTGTTCGTATTAGTTTATCTTAATGGTCTTCAGAAAGCTAAATTTTGTTATTACTATAAATCTTACACTGGCAGCCCTGAGAGGGATGAATGCATAATATGAAAATTACTATCTTTAAAGGAATTTGGAAACTCATTCCTGGATCAAGGTTTTTGAAGCTTTTATACTACAACTTGTTAGATGGAAATGTGTTATATATCTGCTAGTTTATAGCATTGCAGAGAAACCTCATAGTAGTCTACCGTATACATTAATAAGCACACTCCCAGTCTCTGTCACACGGAGACTACAATCTGAATAGACAAGATGGGAAAAGCCCCAGAGGGAAGAGATGCTGTTTTCATTACAAATGGGAACTGTGTTATACAGAAATTCATTTTTTCTGAAGTTCATGCAGGAAGTCTGTAGCCCAGGTAGAATTTGAACCCACCAACACTAGGACTAGAAAGCTATGCTTAAAGCATATCAGTTCTCCTGACACAGCAGCCACTGTACAGTCACGTGACAGAGACATAACACAGAATATGATGGCTTTAAGTCACTTAAATCCCTCAATCAATCTTTACAATCCAATCAGGAAATCTGGAATAGAAAGAGGAGAAATCTGAAGGATGGGGAAATTATGTTCTTTTGCAAAGTGACAGAGACTACCTGCACTGGATTCGAACTCGGATCTTCTAACAGCCAACCAAATGTGCTAATCAGAAAATTGTCCTATTTTGACATGGTCAAAAAGAAGGTGTTATTATCCTTTTGATATAAAAAAAGAATTGGTTTTTGTTTTGTTTTGTTTTTCTTAAATACTGGTAGGTCTAAGCTTAAAAGGCCTTTATAATATTACTGAACCAAGACTGTAATATGCTGATTTCAATCAACATAATTTAAGGCAGAAAGTTTTGTTTTGAGTGGGTACAAAAAAACACTTTAAGACCTAATGAATTTTTTAAACACAGAAGCTGTCAGAAATACTGTCACTTTTGTAAAATTACATTCTATATGAAATATAGTAGCATAGAATAGCATAGCAGCACTCACAAATAACTCTCTCCATTCTCTAGATTTCTGTCACTTTGGGGGAAACATAGATCTAATTGCATTACAGTGTCAAATCATGTGGCTGTAGCACTATTAATTTGTAACTCTAAATTTGGTCCAGGATACCCTATCAGAAAGGAATATCTACACACACACACACACACACACACACACACACACACACACACAGAGTTGCAATTCTGGAGCATGCTACTACCTCTTAGGGACAACAAAAGCTACCCAGATGCAGTAGCAGGGACTTTTAAGAGCACCTATGTATCAAATTGCTGTGGACAGTAAAACTGAATTGTCCCTACTGCCATCGTAGATCAGCTGCATGACACTATCTCACTGGAATTTAGCTCCAGACACACAGGGCACTTAGAGAAAAAGTGTAACGGATTTATTTGAAGATTTCTTAGCACAATGTGGATATTTAACAAGTAGACCAAGTGTGGTAACACAGAACTGTGTTCCCATTGGTATCTCGACACAAATAATTTTACATTATTATTTTGTTATGTAAGGTGTTCAGAAATGGCATAACACAACACTAACACACCAGTAGATAACTAAATACATGACTACGAAAATAAGGTGATTTTGAGGAATACTTGTATTTTAATATTATTCACTGCAAGGTCAGAATTGAATGACCCAATTCCCACTGAACAAAAAGATATTTTTTGCTCTCTTCACTGGTTTTTTGTTCAGTATTAGAAAACATTTTTATTAATGATATGCAATCTCAGACAGAATCCAATGTGTTTATCTCCAACTGTATTTATTTTATAATAGTAGTTAAAAGTTGTACGACAAAACATTAGTATTTTACGCTTCTAAAGCACTTCGGACCTGAGTATGTCAAGACACACTACACAGATTATTAAATTCAACTTCACAGAAGCTCATGCAATATTGCATTAAAAATACATTAAAATCATAGAGCAAATAAAAGGAACTTAAGCACAATTTGCATGATTCTGAAGAGGTGCATTTTAGAATCACTATCATCACAGACATTTAATTTCAAGATAAAATTTAAACAAATGGAAGGTATGAGAAAAATTCAGTGTAATAGTAAATGACTGACTGCCACCTGCTGTGCCTTAAGCTTCTTCTTTGGACAGATGCAATATCTCTGATTAGATTAAATAAAATCTAAGACATTTGATCTTGTTAATAGAAAAACATACAAAACAAAAATGAAACATATTCTTTCCAGTAAGTAGAAGAATCACTTATATTTCCTAATCGTAATTTTAGAGAATTTTCACATAGAGACACCCACAAAATTTTCTGGGGTTTGTTTTTTTTTCCCCTCTTGATTTCCTCAACTCTAAATTTTTCTAAATAACACATATACTGGAGCATAAATTAAAAGGGACAAATCTGAATTTCAGAGTTAAGCATTCCCCCCCCTCCCGCCTTGTTCTCATTTCTCACTAAATGACAGCCTCACAGACCCGCTATTGTTGTATCCAAAAGTTTTTAAAGAAGCCTTAAGAAAAAGTACTGTATGCTGCAGCAGAAGTAAAAAAAAAATAAAAATAACAAATTTCTGGCAACAGCAACAGTGTTTACTGCACTGTGAAAACAGTATTATGTATTCAAACTCTGAAAGAACTTCATTTCTGTTACAGACATGAGGTCTGAAATCCACACTTGAAATCTTCAATGACTTCAACTTAATAGCACAGCATCCACAAAATAGATTTCATTGATTGCTAGGTGTTTCTTACCCTTCCTTGGAGTTTTACAGCATTAGAATACAATGCATCACAGGAGATCAAGGAGACATAAATTTAATGTGCAGTAAGTGTTTATAAATAAGCATAAATGTCTTTTAGCGATTGCACAAATACTAAGCCAAAAAGAAATACCTGAAAGGAAGGAATGCTATGGAATACAGACAATGCCTATAAACTTGGTGGAAAAGAAAAAAAGATATATTAGAAAAGAAAATATTAGCTAGTGTGAACATCCTTCACCATCATACTTATCACATTCACAGAAATTATGAGGATCCTAAGGTGTAACATCTTATTTTTCTAGTCCTGAAGAGAAAATAATTATATCAGTTCAGTGGAGGAAAAATAATAAAAAATCCCTACTACTACTACTAATAATAATAATAAAATTAAAAACAACTCTGTCAACCAAACCTTTCTGCTGAAATGCTTAATCTTCAAAGTTTCCATTCACGACCGCTGTCATACTCATTCTTTGTGGGTTTTTTGTTTGTTTTTTTTTGTTTGTTTGTTTGTTTTTTAAGTAAAATTAGTCAGGATGAACCTACTTTCTAAATATTTGTCTTTTCCAAAATTGGAAAATAAAAAGCAACAGTGCAGAGAGAATAGAGATTTTAGTATACTTTAAATTGAAAAGATAAACCTTTTTCAGTAACAAAAGCTGAATGACAAAGATTGTGGAGATTTATTATTATTGCAAATGAGTCCTATTGGTATAAAACCAGTTATGGTAGTTACCCCATAAATACATTAACAAAGGTAACTCCTGTCTCAGAGAGATCAAAGTTTCACATTGGGAAAGGAATAAAACAATAAATGAGAGAAGAGCCTAATACTTCAACTCTTGAACCAAATAAAAATCAATCAATTTAGTTCAATGATTCTAGAGTGCTACACCCTGATTCCAGCTGTGGAAGGGGTGAAGATAACAAAGAAAATTTTTAGCATAAATACAGATGCAATATTGTAAATATGTTTAGTATTCCAAATAAAACAAGAAAATTATTTTTCAACACTACTCTGTATACCTACTATAACCTTACTCTTTAATTGTTAAGCTTTTTCTAAATTAAAATATTTTATTTCAAATTAAGAACTACCAACTCAAGCATTTTAAAAAACTGTAATAAATACACAGTCCTAAGACTACCTGAATATTGTGAGCCAGTTCTCCAAAGCATCACACATTGCTAAATTGCAATGTAGTAAAGGGAAATGTTTCACACTATTCCATTTTTACCTGTTCCAAATAATGTAATGACAGGTTGATATACTTGGCTTCTGTCAATAAGTGGCCTCCAACTCCAGTCTTTGCAACACGCTCTGAACCAGCGAGATCTACTAAATGTAACTTGGAGCGTCGAATAGTTGCAGATCCAGGTTCCTTGCTGGAGATGTGAATAGTGAAAATGCAGTGAGATCGGGTTGAGGCTTGATTCATTGGTGTCTACAATGAAAAGAAAGGAAGAATCCTCAATGTTAATTTAATAAATAAATTCAGCTTTTCATGGCTCAAAAATCTGGAAATTGAAATCACCTATACGATTTTTTAGCTATTACACCTATAATAAATATAATCAAGCAGAACCTCAAAGGATTTACTTGGTAGTCATATTCTGGCCAAATACTTGGATAACTTTAACCTGGACAAATTGTACTTGTGTTGGGTTTGTGTGTGTTGGTTGGGGGGGACCGTTTTTTTGGTAGTGCGGGAAGGGCCACCTTGTGAAAGCGAAAAGCTCCCCTCGCTCCAAGGCGGAGAACCCCCAACCCAGGCTGAGCCAATGAGCACTAGAGAAACACCTCTGCGAATCCATGTTTGTGAGGGGAAGGACTGTCTGAAAAGAAGCAGGTATGGTACCTGGAGGAGAGGACGTTTACGTGAACAAAAGATGATCATTGGCCAAAACAAAGAGACAGACACAGAGAGAGCATCGTTGCCAGAGGGAAAGACAGAGACCCACACCCCGTTCTACGTAATGGAGTAGGAGAAGACAAAGTCCCCTGCAGCCCATGGAGATTCATCAGCCAAGCAGAGACCCACGTGTAGGCCATGGAGGACCCCACACTGGAGCAGAAAAGTTGAGCCTGTGTGACTGGAATTGGGACCCTGAGAGTCGTTCAATGCCAGAGCGGGGGTGGATCCCCAGAGTGGGGGTGAGTCTGCAGCCCGTGGATGTCCCCATGCTGGAGCCGGGAACTGAGCCCGAATAGGTCCATAACTCCATGGGAAGCTCACTTTGGAACATCTTGTTCCTGGACTTCCATGTCAGGAAGAGCAGTAATGGTAAACTGACTGAACCCCCATTCCCTTCCCCCTGTGCTGCTGCGAGGGGAAGGTAGAGAAATTGGAAGCAAAGTGATAAAGTATGTTATCAGGGCATATATACTTGACTTCCAGAAAAATAATGTAGTGAAAAAAATTAACAAATAAATATTATTAACAACTAAATCTATGCATATTTATAGCTGTTTAAAAAGAATATTAAAAAATCCTCATTAAATTGTACAGATTAATTTATTGTATATTCTTTATTCCTCTGTTATTCTAGAGTTAGCTAGGCATACCCCGTGATTCAGACTAGATATACTAACATTGCTTTTTTTTCTTCATCGTCAGCTTTGCTATGAAACATTCTAGATGTTAAAATAGCCTGCCCGTTGCAGGTGTTGAAGGTGGTGTCTGGTTAATCCAGAAAGGATGGCTCTCAAAGGAAAGATTTCAAGCTGAATATTCCTCTACCAGGAATAATATGAACAGTTATGCCTCTTGGTTGAATTGTCTTCCCTTCAATAGCCCCAATTTTTTTTCCAGCCTTTATGATGCCAGCACAATGAACTGTTTTAGGGAATTGATCCATCCCACAGAAAAAAAAAAAAAGGAAAAAAGAAAAAACAAACCAAAAAACAAACAAACAAACAAACAAAGTCTGAAAACCAAAGATATTTAACCTGGATCAGTTTCCTGAATCAGTTACAGCACAGCTGTAGAAAGCAGTTCTGCTAGAATAATTGAAAATGGCAGAATACAGCATGTGAACAAGTAGGTGGTATGCGTGAATAGCACAAGCTTTAGTTGGTGAAAATTTTGTAATGAAATTAAAGCCTTAGCACTATTTTATTTTGGGCTGTTTTACCTAACAAATCCAAGCTCAGAGGGAGAGGGAGAAGAGTTTTGATCATTTAGTTTATACAGATGAGGAATTTTGGAATAATATAGGCAAGACACTGGCTCTGCTTAACTGCCTGGTTTCTAAGGATCATTTCACAATCCTGTGAAATTAGCATCAGAGCGCAGCCACAGGATATGCTGTCTTCAGAGGCAAAGCTGAACAAATGAAGGGGCAGCAACTTGTAGCATGGGAATGAAAATGAGCAGGCTCAGGGAAAGGTATAGGCCTGTCAAGCTTTGAAAAGCAAGAAAATACTCCCAAACATATTTAAAATGCAGTTATACTAAGCAAAAGTTATATGCTGTTAAAAGGTCAGCAGTTCTGACTACATGAATAATCAGAGCCAGCTTCACCTATTTTACAAGAAGAGCTATGATTTTACTACTTGCAGCTCTGTGAAGGACTGGATGTTTAATTTTTCCAGCTCAAAATCCACAACAGAATTAATATTTAAGGCATCGTCCTCAACAGAATTTTTATTTGAGGACATTTTGCACTACAGTCATGGCATCGGTCACACTATAATTGCAGACAAGGCTAAGCCAGATTGAATATCAATACAGGTCTAGCTAAGGAAGCACAAAGTAAAGGTTGTTATGAAAGGAGCAGAAGAAATCAGCATACTTTAGAACAAACATTCTTAAGCAAACTTAAGTTTCACTCTGAAGCAAAACCTCACGTATTTCAAAATGTGCTTTAGTCGCACCTGTTTAACCCCAATAGAGGCAAAAAAATTTGAAAGCATAAAATAAAGTAATTTCAGGACTCCCCATTCCAAAAGTTCAGGGCACTATTTGGTCTATTAGGCCTTTATTGTCTATAGCAATACACTAGCCATGACTCGTTTTTCCATGTTCCAAGCAGATTCTGTTGGACTGGTCATTAGAAATTCTACTGCTTTTATCTCCACAACTTCTTTTTTATGTACAATGAGCAAAACTGATTTGGAAGTCATTGGATAGAATCCTAAACTCTTATTTTTATAAATTCCTTCTTCAGAGTAGAACCCTGCTTTAATAAATACACCAATACTCCTTTTTACAATACGATTCTATCTCCACTTCGCAGTTCCCATATAAAGAAAGGTATATGAGAACTCTTGCAGGAAGCATAAGGCAATAAAAATTTAAACTGTTAAATAGGATGTGATCATGAAATGTTAACTGCATAATCCCCCACACTTTGCTACTTTTACCACACAAGTAGATACAAAGCACACAGCAACAGAAATGACAACTTGTCAGCATCTTCAGTCCAAAAATAAGCTGCCTTTTTTTTTTTTCTTTTGCTATCTTACATAAGCAACTTCTGAGTATCACCATGCAGCTGTTCAGAAAGTTTGCAAATTGAAAACAAACAAACAAAATTTTCTGGACAGTGTCACAGAGCCTACTAAAAGGTTCCTTCCGTGGTTTTTAGAGTTCATTTTGGCTTTGTTAGAAGTATTCAAACCATATGTATATGAAATCATCCTCACACTAATTTGATGTGATGAAGGAAAAAAAGAAAGGGGGGAGTGGCCTGTCTCTCAGCAGATGGTTGCTATTGTGAAAGTTATATATAGAACAACTGATGAGCTGCAGTTACTTACAAAGAAATAATTTTTTCCAGGAATTCTGTGACATCATAAACCACATAAGCAGATTTCAGATGCTTTGCAATATCACATGAAAACTACAAAGGAATTAATGCCACGTCATCTGTTGCTGCCCATTGTGGCACAGTAAATTCAATAACTTATCTTTCAAGATCATATTTTGGTTTTTGTTTTTGTTTGATGTTGGAAAATATACATAAGTGAGATTTCAAGCCATACAACCCAGTCTCCTTTTCACCAGGATCAGGGGATACATCTGTGTTCACTGAAATTAAATGAACTGTATAGAAGCTTCATGACTTAAACCATTACATCTATTCACACAACGGTTGCAGGAAGGTGGCTTCTACTTAAATGAGAACCTGCAGCACAGCCATATTGACAGAAAGATCCAAATCGGATGCTCCTTGCAAAGAATACAAGCTAATGAAAGGTCCAAAAAACTTCCTGGAGCCCAAGTTATCCATCTTAATCTAATTGTTATCTCTCTGAAAGCAATAAAACAATGCAGGAGTTCCCTGTACAATAATTTATGCCTTTTCCAAATCCTTTCCTTGTTGTAGCTGCTATTATAAATCTTGTTTTCACTAAGAAGAATAGCCAGAAACAGGATGCTACTGGTCAAAATAGTTTTCTTAATAACTGAGGACCTAAGAAGGAGAACATTTCTTAAATAGGAGAAAAATATGTGAAAGGCTGGTTGAAAATCATCATTAGACCAACAGAAGCTGCTACTATGTGGAAGAATAATGTATTGATTGTGGCTGCCAAATACACTCAGACAGAAAAAATACAGAAGAGTTCAGGACAGCTGGGACAAAAAATTTTCACAGGTGAAAGGCTGATTTTGAATGCTCCCATTTTTTTGAGATGTCTCACTGAAAAGATACAAAATTTTGTTTTAAGGAGGGTTTCCTTTTCCTTTTAAGTTTTTTTCACTTTTGGACTTTTTGAAGAAGGGTGAGGGAAAAAGAGAAAAGCACTGACAGCTTCCAAGGCACCTATCAGATTGATTTTCTCTAATCTCAAGCTACAATCAGGTGGATACCTGAAGGAAGAAGTTCTGACAGCTTTAGTAATTTCACAGTTCAGATGGTAAGAAAAGAGCCATTGTGTCCTACAAGAATGATAACAAAACAATTTAACATGGTTTGTTTCCATGTTTGAAATTCATCCTTAGACTACTCTGGTGTTTTCACATTGTTGGTTTATAGCACAGAACATCATAAGTCTCTGCAAGACTGAAGAAGCAGAGATTCTTTGTTGAAAAACAGTGGCTATATCTGTCTAATTAATATAAACTCCACCAGTTCCAACAGAACCATGCTATATTGAAGGGTATGTAAGTTGAAGAACAGGAGGTTCCAGTCTTTATATCTGGTAGATGAGCGAGACCTTGATATATCTTTAGTTTCCTTTCTGATTAACATGGTACAAGTCAATGGGCTTTTCAGGTGTACTTAGGCACACTTGGCCCAGTTGAGATTGCAAATCTATTGCTATGAAAATATAAGGATCAGAAAAGGTGCAATCTGACACTTCCCTGATTTCTAAAAGCAATACTTTACTTTTCATATTTACTACAAGTACAGTTTCACAGTTAGATCATGGTAACTGAGGTAACTTTTAAAGTAATTAATATTCCCTGGGGAGAATATTATTAAACTTTGCGTTATACAGTGCCTTTTATCTATATAAATCTCAAAGCACTTTAAGGACTATTCAAAGTAGTACGTATGACCAGTGATTGTTTTACCACTCATGGAAATGAAAGCACCTGTGCTGAAATGATGATGCCATTTGGTGCTAATGGTACTATAGAACAGGTTTGTCACAGTGGAAATAAATCAACAATTGACACCAATGAGAAACCTAGGAAAGCAGAAAGTTGTAATTCATTCTGGAATGTAGCTCTAACATGCCTTCTTGGCAAAAGTTTTGTTTAACCTCATTCAAATCCTTCACACATTGAAATCCTATTTTTCATATTTCAGCCAAGAAAAAAAACACATTCAAACACTACCAGTGGCTTTCTAAATATATTCAGGAGAACACTAATAGACAATAAAAATAAATACAAATGGAATGAGTTGAATTCAGAGGTTACAAGTCAGTTCCCACAACTGTCTTTAAGTGCTTAAAAGTTTCATTCTTTCTTGAAATAAACATATTTATAAAATTGCCAAAAGCATACTGCTTGCCCCATGTGTAACTCAAACATTATAAATGATGGAACAAATACTGTGTAGCATGTATTCTCTCCCAAATTTAAATGGAGTATTGTAGGCATAAAACCATGCAGTAAAATATTTCTTCCTCATTAAAATTTTTCATTAGAGGAAAAACAAATGCTAAACGTACATGCAACTGCAGTGTTCAGACATAGCAATCTCATATAAAGATATTACAGTTTTGAAATTGATGCATACCCTTGGGAGGCTACTGGGTCCACCTTACTCTGCTATTTTAAGTACTAAAAAAGTACTAAGAATTCTCTCAATCACAGAGGCTCAGGCATATTATTTCAAAGGATAGCAATCACGAGAGATTCCCATCACAAGAATTTAGAAAAGACCATTTCAGCTGAAGACATGTTAATAGTATATCTACCAAAATAAAATGGTTTGTGAACACTACCTAAATGGCCAAACACTTATTTCTGTACATGAGATTTTTTTAGATGCTGCTGCTACCACCTGTGTCATATATGCAAATTAGATTTTGTAATCCTTTGTTTGCATGTATTTGAGATACCTAAATCACAAAAGTTAGCTTAAAAAAATAAAATATTTTAAAAATCAGATCTTTTTTAAAACCTGTTGCAGAGATTCTTATGCATTCAAATGTAGCAAGAAACTGTTTTACAGGAAAACCAACCAACCAACAAACAAACAAACAAAAATATAGCCCTTACAGTTGGAAGAGGTGTCAACAAAAGAATCAGTTTTTTGGGTTTGTTTTCTGCCCATTTCTCCCTGGCAAAATGTAAGAGACAAAATCTTTCTATTTGGATTTTTACATTATGAAGTGTTTGTGCACAGATGCCTCCCATCTTATCATTTCCACAACCTGAAGTACATATCAAATTAGAGCAAAGTATAGGTCCTATACTGACCTATAAACCAATACTGCACAAATTAGATTAGCTTCCTTTTTTTTTTCCCTTCTCATGAGCTATATAATTATGTGTGGGACGTAAGTATTCTGTTATAAACTTTCCCGTAGGTTCTGACATTTAATGAATGAATGACTGTAGCCTATAGGATAATTTTAACATTATGATCAGTTTCTTTTTAGAACAGCCAGTGGTGAGGGCAAAATGTAGCCCTCAAATCACAAGTTAGATTCCCCTAGCAGAGGCATTGCAGAAATTAAGTTGTCATTCTTATTTTCAAAATGGTCTTGCAACTCTTCAAAGAAGGGTCATCTCAGGGGTAATGTGTTAGATTGCAATTTTAGAGGCTGCAGTTCTGCCACAGATTTCATATGTAATCTATGACAGTCAACTTAGTTTTTCCATAGCCAAACTCCTCTTCATTAAAAAAGACAAATCAAGCATTTCTTTCACTTTCTTTTCTATTTAGGTTTATTCATCCTGTATTCTTTAAAGTTTACTTAATTAAGATCCTAATCTTTTTTAAGGAGGTCAGGAAGTGTTATCATAATTCAATTAAGGTTTAAAAATATGAATCTCTGGAGAAGAAGTTATGGTTGATGTTATAAGTCCTCTTCCCTAGACCTCTACATTAATCCTTCATTTCTGCAAACACTACTTTCTCATTCTGTTAAGTCATCATATAAAGTACCACAGTCACCTAAAGCCAAAAGTGACAAATGATAATGGGTGATAAATTCTGTTCTGAAGGCAGAAATCAGCAAGCTCACTGAACTGTACTGCAGCATATGTGCTGCAGTTGCAAAGGAACAATGTAGGAGATAACTATATAAATAAAACTTCTACAATGAAATCTACCTAATTTGAAGTTTTTGGAATCATATTAGCATTCAGACTAACCAAAGTTAATATTGCTGCAATGGGTGATAGTTATTCCAAGCAAGTATTCTCTGCATTTTATTCTTTTAAGTATTCTTCATTAAAAATCAATGAAACAATAACTTTAAAGTATTTATATAACAGAGAAACTCTTGCTGTGGCAAAAGCAGCAAAAGTGACAATGGAATAGCATTTGCTAACCCAAACCACTCAGATTAGTGAATTCTCTACTACTGGAGTTCCACACATTCTCATATCTATTCTTACAATTTCTAGCAAGTATTAGCATGCCCCACATAAAACTACCAAGTTGTAGATTAGAAAATAAGCTAAAGGAGATTTTTATTCAAACAACACAGTTAAGTAATGGAACTGTGTGCTACACAAGATTTATGACAAAAACTTAACGAGGTTACAAAAAATTATCTGGGCAAATTCATGTAAAAAAACCCCCCAAACCAACACAAATTATTAGCTATAAATAATCTGAAACCGAAACTAATGAAGATTAGGAGATTTTTTTTTAAAGTGTCATTATTTACTTGGTTTATCTTTTACTCATCTCTATATATTTGCTATCGGTCATAGCTCAAAACAGGAAACTGGAGCAGACATATATTTGGCCTGACCTATTAAGAATAGTCTTTTAATTTTACTGAGCATTATTTCACCTTGACCTTTAATGACTTACTATCTTCATTAGTCCTGCTATTTGTTCATGACTTTCATTGTTTGGGATATATTTTCTCTTTAGGCAACATTTTCCAAATATGTAACACAATTGCCCTTTACAATTGATGATTTATGACCCTGTCAGCCAGCAGCACACAATTCTTAAAATATTCTGCCTCATTTTCACACACAGATCCTCTAAACTGATCAGGGATTTCCTGAAGAACTCCCTTCATGCAATGAACCTTCTTTTTCTGTTTTCATTACCAGCTATCATGATAACTTTTCTGGCTTCTGAACTCAATGTCATCTTTTTGTCTCCTCTATTACACTTTTCAAGTTCCTCTCCTCTAAATTGTATCAGTTTTTCCATTTCAATATCAAATGGCTCCTTGCCTCAACATTCATATTTACTAACAGCTTGATTATCTCTTGCCTTAATGTCTTTCTGCTTCTCAAAAACTGAAATAGTTTCCCTTGAGAAAGAGAGAACAAATCAGCTTTCCGCCCATTTACATTTTGTAATCAAATGCATCTTCCCCTGTGCCCAGGTGTACTTGGTCAGCCAGCAGGAACAGAGTGCTACTTGACTATTTAATATACATTAAATGTCTTTTTCCTCATTGATTTATTATATATCTTTTTGGTCAGACAGAGGAAGAAACCCCACAAATTTCTAAAATAGAATTAGCTGTGTTGTGGCAAAGACACATTGACAGTGCTCACATGGCACAATAAAATTTTAATATTTACATCCCATTTCCAAGTATGGGGATAAGGAAGAAAAAATCCTACAGATTTTATTAATTGATTATGGAAATATTTCATTTGAATTTTACAGAATCAGTAAAAACATCCTTGTCTTTGCATATTGGCAAATATTTATTTTGAATGTGCTTTGCACCACCATTTATTTTTTTACACATAACACCACATGTTTATGCAATAAGAAGAAAAAAGAGGGGACTGCTGCCTCTTATTGCAACCTCTTCAAAGGCAATCCAGTACTTCTGTGGGAATGTTTGACAATGCTTTGTAAGGCCATGTTTTCTAAGCTTTAAATGTATATTTATGTTGATACATGCCACATTCAAAAGTCAGTCTATGCTTTATGAGAATTTTTTTTTTCTTACTTATTTTAATTACAGTCAGTTATGACATCAACAACCACCAATCAGATTCACTAAGGAAAAACAGGAAGTTCTTTGCAAAGTGAAAGATATAATTAGGGAAATGCTTATTTAATTTCACTGTGGAAATACACTCAGAAAGATACTTACTCTTTTATCTCCAAGGACTTCCAAGATCTCCATCTTATATGGAGAAATTTATGATCATTTTAACTCTGGTGGTATTAAGTAAGACGTGTAGCAGCAATTCTCACCTCAGCAATCATTCTGTTGGTGTCTCCAAAGAAGAGTAAGTTTAAGGCTTCCTCTTCATTGGTTGCTTGCTGAAGAGACAAGTTTTTCAGATGAATGTTCTGATCAGGGTCTTCCATTATTGTCACTTTTCTACATGGAGGGGGAGGGATAAAACAAAACAAAACAAAACAAAATAGAACTGTTGTAAGGCAATCTTTGTTCTATACTTTCATTTTGATTGCATCCAAAAGGTGACATCTAAAACCCAATAATAATAATAATAATAATAAAAGAACAACAAATATGAGGAGTAAGCAATGCACATTAAAGGAAGTTCTGAATTGTTTTTACTCTGTCACCTCCTTTTTACTCCTTTATTATAAACCTCCACATAGGAAAGGAATATATAAAATCTATAACTGTTTAGAGAATTCTTTGGTTTTTTTGTTTTTTTTTTTTAATAAGATATAGTAAAATCTCAAGAGCAAGTGGTTAGATGAATTGCCACAAAAAAATAATAAGTAGGGGTTTGTCTGCCATTACCACAGCTATTTAAGCACAAAATAGTACATAATGCATACCATAATCTCGATGAACAAATAGGTATGGAATATTTCATAATCAACACATCAGTAGCCAACATGTTTCTAATAATTTTGCATTTGTCAAGATTATTTCTCTTTTCATTCTTCTCAAATGGTAATAACTACAGATGTAAATGATCCCTTTCTTTAATTAAAAGCAAGCAAATGGAACGATTTTATTTAATTCCACTGAGGTTAGAAATGCAAGCCTTAAAGTTCAGGAAAAAGAAGTTAGAGGAAGTAGCAAGGATATGGTAAAAGCTCCATGAGAGCTACTAAATATTACTGAAACTCCTTTTCACTTTGCTTTACAAAAGAATTTATTCTTTTGATCAGATTACTGAGAGTTAAACCTTACTGGCTTTACTAAGTAGCCATTAGGTTCTCCTCAGTTAGGACATTCTATAGTTACCAACCTGGAAGCCAAATACTTGCATCATTGGATTTGGAGAACTCCCAGAGTGAAGAATCTGTTAAAATTGAAGTACACTAATTCTGAGGATGAATGACATGTCCTTCAGGGTGAATTACATGTTCTGAGACAACTTACAACAAGCAAATTAGAACTTTTTTAAAAGTTAGAAGGTTTTTTTTTTTTAAAAAAAAAACAGGTTGTTTTTTTTCCCTGTGAGTATAGATAATACCTTACATACATGTATATGTATATGTGTATGTGTAGGTATATATATATTTTTTCTATATTCTTCGAGGTTAACCACAAGAGGGAGTATGGGGCTTGAGTTTTTATCTCTAGATAGTTCGTTAATTACTCCAAGCTGCTTCAGAACCACACCAGTTGAGTTTTGTTCTGCTTTGCTTGTCCTTTTTTCACAAAACCTGACTGAATCAAATCAGGCAGCTAAGCAGCTTTCCATAGTATTACTCTTAAGTTTTAGGGAGTAGTTCACTACTGATGGTGGTCAAAACATTTGAATGGATATACAGAACTAATTTGAACACGTTGCAATACACTCACTATTTTCAAGAAAAAAATACATATAGAAGTACACACAATGCTTCTTTAGCAGTCGTAACAATTGTCTTTCCAAGTGTGATTGCCTCCCACTTATAGCCTTATTTTTGTGTGGCAGAGTTATACAGCACTAGCACAGTCACAAAATTCTATTTCCCCCATTCAGAGCACAAACCCAAAAGCATAATTCTGCTCTTGCATAACAATGTTTTGATAATCTCAAGTTGTATTCTGTCTGCAATTCCATCTGTGCATGCACCACACACTAAAGCCCAGAGTGGTTCTGATTATAGTATGAATCTTTTCCTAATTTTAATATTTTGAAATTTCATTGTAAGCATCACCCACCTCTTTTTATAGTTTAGGAAAACAATGCTGCTTTACTATGCACACTTGGAATAGTATTTAAAATTTTAAGGATCTTTTCAGACTACATTTTGACCAATGGTTATAAATAATTTCCAGACAACAACAACAAAGAAATTAGTTAGGATGAAAAGCTCTGGATGATTATTATACCAGAAAGGAGACAGTGAGGACATCACAAACCAATCACAGCCTCCAATACAGTGCCTTTGCAGCTTTTAGGAGGATTTCCAGATGAAAGTCTAAATTTGCACATCTTGAGAGGTATCTGTCAAAGCTTCCTCAGAAAGACATGTTCCAAAATGACAAGAAAATGATGTATTTTATAGTACTATAATGTTACTGTATAATATGATAATAGATTTCTATAGAACATTCTCTATATTAGTGAAATCTTTATATTTCATAGCCCTAACTTGGATTTTGGAGTGGAAAAGGTCTGTTAAGTTATCCATAATGACTGAAAGAAGGCAGAGACAGGGTTTTGTTTTCTTTATAAACAAAGAATCTTTTCCATTTGGCTTAATGGATGGAATTTATAGCTGACTAGGAATCCTGTAGGATGGGATCAGCCTTTTTTATACTGTTATTAACTCAAGCCCTTTCCTGTATCAACTGAGCTGCTATTAATGCAAGACAGCCTTACACATTGAATGCTTTCACTTACAAAATCCCTGTTACTGGCAAACGATGGAGTTAAAGCTCCCTTTCATTAATTAATACCATCTCATTAATTTGTGTAATATACATTAAAAAAACTTAAAATATTTTGGAAAACAAATTTTAGTTTTAAAAATCAAGTTTCCTATGATTATATCTGTCTCTAAGACTTAGAATTGAAGAGATATAAAATAATCTCAAAAACTTTACAAACATTTAAAAAATAATCATATTGATGTAAGCAAATCATATATGAGGATACACACCTTCTATGACAATACATTAGCAGAATATAGTGATACTATTTTAGCATGAGGAGGAGACTATACAGATAATAATAAATTTAGGAAAAGGACAAAATAGAAAAGCTGCAAAAACACATCTTGGAGTCTGTCCAGAAGAAGAGAATAAACTAATGGATAAATACAGTGTAAAGTTGCAAGGAGCTTTAGGTTTTAAGAAAGAATGGCCAAGATAATAATTTTATATATAATAACAAAAATTATCTTTCAGAAGTATAGCTCCCCACCACAGCAGAGGACAAAGTCAACACTGATTCAAAAGGCAGGTTACAAAGTTTTTCAGGAACCAGCACAGCTTCCAATAGCACAGAGATTTGATTTTCCATTCAAATATAGATCTAGAGCATAATCTCCTTAGCTTGTGAGACATGACTCAATTATGAGATGAATAAGCATTGGTGCAGGCTGTCCTCCTGACATGTCATATTGTGTTAGGAAATCCTTCCCAGTGTCTCCAATGAATTCTACTCATGAGACAAGAAAAACACAGTTTGCTTGTTCTACACTGTATGGACATAGGAGTGTGCGACACTTGCACATTTAGGAGCTAGTGATCCACATACCAGTTAACTTGAGCAGGCTCAGCCTGTGCTGTGCGTCACAGAGCCCTTGGCTGCAGGATGAATTCTGCATTATAACATTAGAGCCTGTAGGCAGCTCCCACCTGGTCATCACAGCACCTGTGCAGCCTTCCCTTTATCAAAAAATGCCGCAAGAAGTTCTCATGAGAACATTCGTTAGAAATGGAGCTGTTTTCTTGTAAGGAAATCATAGACTAGCTCGAATGACCAAAAGGGAGAGCTTCTCTCCACAGACAGGATCCATGCTGCTCTGTGCAGTGTGCTGTGGGGAAATCCATTCAGGCTCCTTCCGTTGCTGCATGAACATGGGTTGCTCAGCATTCAATGGGATGTAAGATTTACTTGCCATCTATATTCCTCTTCTTATTCTTGTCTTATGAAAGCAGTTACCTTATTAAGCCATTTGTTGTCAGGCCTTTCTTATTGAGATCCAGAAGACCTCTGCACCAGCTGTCTCTCCCTTCAACCCCACCGTGCAGAACAAGGAGTTAGAATTGAAACAATGAGATTGGTGGTTCATGTACAAACAAATATATAAGATCTGTTAGAATTTGTGGACAAGTGCAATAATCTCACTCACAATTTTTTTTTTTAATAATACTTTAATATTCAAAAGTAAAGTTGCCTTTAAAAGCAGAGCAATACTCTGAACTCAATTAATTCACTCATCCAATGGCTTTAGAAAAGTCACGTTAGAGAAGTTCCGCTGACTTCTTCCTACTGGTTTTCAATAAACAAATCAACATAAAATCTGGATGGGAATAAACAATATAGAATGTATGCTGAAATTATATTACACATGTAAAGCATAATTTGTTTGAACTGTAATGAACAAAACATAATCTTTGAAGAAATTATTCAGAACAGTTGTCGTCTGTTTTCTCATTAACAAACAGAAAAGCTTAAGTTCACAAACCTTAAGAATCTCCTAATTTTTCCTATTCAGAGGTAACAGTTAAACTGAACACTTTTCACTTTGAATGTATTTCATGTGAAAAGCGTGAGCTACTATTATTATTAGCCTTAGAAATTTTAAACCACTGGTAATTCTCAGAACACTGAAAATCTAGTTCTTGAAGATCTATGGATGTTGGCCAGTTTCTAGATAACATAGTAGGTACAGCCATTGAAAAGGAGAAGGGCTGACATTAATACTGTTGAGCTTGGAGATAGGCAACAGGTGTATTTGCATCAAAAAATCAGACTGAATAAAATATGTTTCCTGTATGTTACAAATTATTCCTTCAGAATTTTTTTTTCTTTGTTAAGCAGCACAGGAATTATTATACCAGTTCTTTAGAGCATAAACTCATTTGAGGTAGTTAACCAATGTTCAGTTACAGATTTATTTTTTTTTAAGTAAAATATTTTACACTGACCCCATGGAACATAACAATTCTGCATGTTACTAATATATAGATAAATATAGGTATCATTGTTGATGTTTGAAGTTAATTGGCTCTTAGTTTAAAGTGATTTCCTCTTTATGGAATTGAGTTCACTTAATCTATAGTTCAAATAAATGTAATCTTTCTGGAGCATAAGCTAGTGTTTGTTTTTTGAGGTTTTTTTTAATCAGCCAACATCATTTTATGTCTTATATATTTCCCTATCAAAGAGGACTTTAAAGAATCTTCACACAAAAATGGGGAAACACTTACGGTGGCTGGCAGTTTAGATTACATTTTCCTGTGGCCACATCAATCCTGACTAATGGTTGCCTGAGCCCTCTGGAAGTAGGTCCTCAACCATTGCAGTTTAAAGACTGACTTTTTAAGGTAAAAAAAAGCATTGCTTTCACGTGCAAGAGTGTCACCTGCCATAGTTTGGACAGGTAAAGCAGTAACATAGGTTGTCCTGACAATCTATGACTAATGGTTCTATAACCTCAGTCTTTATTTTTGTGTTATTGTTCAGTGGCAAGAAAATTCTTAGTGCCTCATAAATAATACAAACTAATTAGGAAGAGTTTGTACTGGTATGTTATAACTCAATGAAATTAGTTTGATTCCGTATCATGGAGTTATATAAATTGCAAATACATTGTACAACAGACAACCTGTTACTTCCTTTCTCATCTGGCAGACTCCAATGAGCATATTAAAATGAAAATTTAGTAGTCTACAGAATATATAAAGGATGGTTATACACAAAACATAGACTTCAGGAGCTGGTATTCCAGTCTAATCATGCTATGGTTAGATGAAATGGGCAAATTTAAAAATTTTTCTTACTCAGTTTGCCTTAAACATCAAATATAATTTTAATGTCTAATTTTTCAAGTACTATCAACAAATCTGTTATGCACTTTTCATAACTTCTATTATCTGAATGCTATCACTCTGTGTATGTTCCTTCCATTGAACTGATAACATAAAGTCATTAACACAGAGTTTGTGAGGCAGTAGTACATATCTTTGATTCAAATTTCTTCCCTTTCTTTTGCAGGAATATAGATAACAATACTGTTCCAAAACAATCAGCATACTTTACGAGGCTAACTAATCTTTTGTTTACTCTTCTAAAATGATACATTTCTTCAACACTTTTCCATCTTAAATACTTGGGAGAGTATCAGCACAGACTGCTAATACCCAAGCACAGAAAACCTGCATCTGGCTTTGTATGGTGCTTAAAACCTTTATGACCCACCATGGACTTCAACAGGAAATGATGCATAATATGACCCTTTTAAAGTACAAAAGACCATCCGTTCTTTTTAATATTCTCACTAAATACATGCTTTCAAACAAACTTGAGGAAGTTAGATTACTCTGCACTTTGCTTACTACCATTAAAATCTTAAAAGGTCTTAACCACATATAATTATCAGAAAAATGAAATATACATTAGGTAATAAAAACCTGATATATTTTAAAATAGGTGACTTGTATTTACTTTACATGTAACAGCTACTTACTTTGTCATTTACAAAAATTAACCAAGTAACAAAAATACAGTTAATCACGCAACTACTGTGTCCTACAATTTGTAACACTTTTAGCTGAGAATGTCACTATATATTTTTAAATTTTGAATCCCTAAATTATTATCTTAAAAAGTAATAAAAAAGTATATTAATTAGATATTTTTATACAGTGCAAAATATGAGTGGTGAAGGTATAGTTCTATTGTTCAGTACATTTTTTTTGACAAATGATGTATTGTAAACAATAATGACCATGTACAGTAAAACCATTAAGCATTTATTAAGATTAGTTACTCTGAAGAGAAGAATTTATTATCTCACTAAAACCCATCCTGCAATAGTATACACTACGTAATTTTAGAGGCAATTATGATTATCCTCATGTGCTTTATGCCTAATTCACAACCAAACTATCTGTCGACTTTTTTTTTTTTAAATAAGCTAATACATAACAACGATTTATTCTTTGGCTTAATTGAATCACCATAAGTAAATCAATTTTGAGATTCTAAAATTCATTATTATTAGTAAACAGTCAGAAGCTAGTTTTATGAAGTGACATATTTTCCAAGGCATATGACACACAAAAAACTGCTTCAAATAAAGTTGCAATTAAATTAATAAAATTCAATTCAGTTCAATTGAATAAATGCAATTAAATAAAATGAATAAATGGAATTAGTTCAAATAAAATATTCCAAATAAATTAATAAATTAAATTAATAATTTAATAAACTTGAATAACTTAATAGCATTAACTTTAATAAGCTGAATAAAAATGTAAGACTATTATTTACACACAACTGCAAAAAAAAATTGCACCTTTAAAAATAAGCACAATAATTTATTATCCAAATTAATCTCTGATTTAAATATTTTCTCTGCATAGCATAGGAAGCAGATAATAAATCAAATTAGATTCCTAAACTTTACAATGAAAGACATCAGTAAATACATACAGTTTTTATAGCATCAATATGTCATAAAGTAATAAAGTATAGTTCTATTTCACAGATTAAGAACATGAAGCAATGAGACCAACTTACAGCCCAGTCTCATACTTATGAGTTTGTCTGCTCCCTTCCTTATCTCTTCCTTATCTAGCTTATTTTATAAAGATCAGTCTTGAAAGTTTTTGTAGACCTATGTTCTAGATAGCATGTATTGTGTAGAAAACTAAAGCTAGATTTTAACACAGCTTGGCAGATTTTTTTTTTTTTAATAAATAAAATTTTTAAAAATATGTTAATAACACAATTAGGTATTTTGATATAAAATTCTATTGATTTTTTGTTATTACTTCATTGGCAGTTTTCAGTATATTTCCTGCTCTTGTAGCAGCAGTAATTTAATTGCTATTTAAATGTTTCAGTCACCATCACGTTGGGTGAGAAACATTATGGTTCTCAGCATTATTTCAGAGCATTTGTAAATCCCAAGCCTTCAACAACTTATTTATTTACACATATTTATTCTTTGCTGAATTATTTTAAAAGTAACGCAGACTAAAACCTATTTTTTCAGAAGAAATTTAGAAACTAGGGTTTGAATTTCCTATAAATTACAAGGTCTTTAACTTCACCAGGCTTACGTGTTTATGACTTACAAACCTTTATTTACTATCCTTCTCCAAGCATTAGTAGGTGCTAGTGTCTCATCCATGAAAACTATTACAACCATCACCCATTCTGAAGTAAATATATTGTCCTTTGGAGTGCCCTGTGGCTTTTTCTGTCTGTTACTTTCCTTATTTCCTAATTGCTTATTCTAATAATTATCTTTGAAGGAAAAGGTTCAAGTAGAAGCAGGGAGTTTTTCTCCCTACTGTTGCAAGGATATACTGCCTGTTACATATGTGTCTGTCACACACACACACGTGCATACTGTATGAAGAGACAGTTTGCCATGAGAAAAACAAGCATACTTTCTCTTTTTTTTCAGTCTGCAATAGATCTCTTCTGCACAATATCAATATACATTTTTACAACTCATCTTCAGTTACTTCCATCTAGTTTCCTAACCCTCTACACACATAAAGTAAGAGAATATTTAGACAGTGTTGATAAAATTGAGAAAACAAAGTATTTTGAGTTAACACAGAGATCAGTAGCACAGTTTCAAAAATTCCCCAACCAATACAACAGAGCATCTGAAAATGATTTCTATTGTTTTTTATGGTTCTCTGTAGTTTTGTTACTCACGGCAAATCTTCCAATCTAGAGGCCTCATGTCTTGGGTCCAGCAGATCATAACCACATTCATTGTAGATTTCCAAGTAGGAAACGTGAGTTGTGTACACTTTACTGCTATCCTGGACAAGAAAAGAAAAAAAAAATATAGAGAAAAGGAAGAGTTATAAAGAGAAGTCGGACCTAGACCAGAGGACAAATTTATCACTACAACTTTTATGTTGCTTCCTCACTCTGTCTCTTTTTCTTTTCCTGGGTATGGTTTACACTTTTAATTTGTGATACTTTTATGTTTTCTGTTACCATATGCAAGGGTAACAGAAGAAAAAGGAAAAACAAACAAACAAAACACACACCGAAAAACAAACACAAAAAACCCCTCAAACCAAAAATCCCCCCAAAACCCCACTGTGCCCATGAGTTTAGTATGGGTTTTTTAATTGGTTCCTTATATCTAGAAAAGTCTGTGTACATCTAGAACATGGCAGACTGCTCACAGAATCATGCAACATGCCATTTTTCACTTCTATGACAAAAAAAGAATGTTATTATAAAGAGGTAAACCTTCATATTATGGATACAAAGACTATGCTTAAAAAAAAAAAGGAACAACAACAAGACGAAAAAATCTGAGATTTACTTTATTTTAGAAACATCAGTGACATAGTGCTTTACACTCTCTTTATCATAACATTTAAGCACTGTATATGATGTTGGCTGTTCTCTGTAATCCTCATTTTTTCTGTATAATACATTGCCAAAATGTAACTTAACACAACTGGTTTTTGCAGACAGAATTTTCTCCTGCCCCAAAGCCAAATCCAAACAACATAAACCTCAAAATAATGGGCTATGATTTCCAAAATAAAAGAAAATTAGTCACTTTTTTCAGCAGATGAAGCCACTGTGAAAGCACTCATATCAAATTCACAGTAGCAGTTTAATAATACAATCCACCACAGTTGTTTTACAAAATACTTTCAGATATGAACTTCATTTTCATTGAATAGTTATTTCCCTTTTTTTTTTTTTAATTTATAATGACAGTTCACTATTTCAAGGGACACCATTTAAAAAAGATACACTACAGATGGATGGAAAAAAGTAGTAAGGAACTGTTCAAACAGGAAGCTGTGGAAATACAAGAATTTCTGAACAATAAATTAGAAGGGGATGCTATTAAAAACAAAGGGCTTGATTTGCTTCTCATTTTAGGTAAAAAGTTTTGTTTTCTTGGTTTCAAATTGTGCTGCCTCAGTGCAAGTAAGAACCTCAAAAGTCTTGTATTTTGTGTCTGTGAATTTACTTTCTCGTGTTCCACTCTACTTAGGGTTAGGAGGCAGATGACTCTTCTCTACTATGTCAGCACTTTCCAAAGCACAGATGTAGATAAAAAGAAATGAAACAAGGGAAAGGTATGAAAAGAAAGGCAGGTGGAAAGATGAAACATCAAGAAGAGCAGAACTAAGTAGGGCTTTTGATCCAAAACCTAGTCTGAAAATGGAAAGGCGAATATTTTTATTTTTGCAGAAAGTATCTGCTGAGAAGGTGGCAAATAAATTAGTTATTTTTCATCTTATTTTGTTTTTATTACATAATGAGCACTAGAACAGAATGTTGGTGTATTGACATTGTATGTTGCTGGAACTGCAAGATCAACCTGTTCATTTTCCATGACAAACATCCTCCATGGGGTCCTGTGAGCAGGAGAAGGTCTAAGGCAACATGATCATGTGTTTGTTTGTTGGGTTTTGTTCATTTCCATTCCCCTAAAAGCAAGCTTTTATGCACCTGCAATATGGTGTGTACATTTACCTGTCAAAGCCATACTTTGAAAGAGTCAAGGTAACTCCTTAATACTGTTAACCCTTACTCAGACAGGGCACATTCATGTGACTAAGACATAAATCCTTACAAGTAAGAATTGGTACCCTGTATTAGAGGAATGATGGAATATAAAAGTACAATGTAATGACTGATGATGGAGTAATTGAAGAGACAAAACATATATCACACCAGACGCCTCTCTTAATCTCTTCACTTTTGCCTCCTTTAGTTATGAAAGCACCAGAGAGCACTGTGTTCACTCACATCAGTATTAGAAATGCTAAAAGAAAATGAAATTCCTTGTAAACATAACGAACAATCATCAGTGTGCTTACTCTGGCACATTTTTCACTTACTCATTTCATTGCATACAGATATCAAATTGAAATAATTCTACAGTATTTTGGCACACATACACACATTATCCCACATCCTCCTTTAGAAAAATGTTCTTCCACCTGGAATGCCAATCACAATATCATCAGCTAGTTATTGTTTCTCTCAGTACCCTCACATGTGGCAAAAAATAGGATATGTTAATTAAGCTTTCTTTCCAACCTGTAGGCTGCAGATCAGTCAGAAGACTTAAGATTTGGTATGATTTACTTAAAATTAACTTCTCTATTCAATGAGAATATGGGTGTAGTGACTATTTCTCCACTAGAAGTCTCAGATATAAAGCACATGCAAATCTGGTTTTCAGAATATAGTTTACTACCATTGTAAGGGTTTTTCTAGTCACTAGTTAACTACTGTTTAGGTACTGATACTATTTTAAAAACAGACCAAAGGATTTTTTTTTTTTATTTTTTCTTCATTTCAGAAAGAATGCATTAGAAATAATTAATAACAGCAATAATAACAATAATAATAATATGTTAGTGACATTTTACTATCTACATTTTTACCTGCTAATGTTATACACGTGTAATTATGTTAAGAAATTTGCCTGAGATTGTTTCTATCCAGCTATATTCAGTGAATCAGACTTTTATTACTAGTACCATATACATGTAAAAACATTCCATACAAGTGGATAACTGGAGTTAAAAGGAAAACTGTAGAGAATGAAATTGAATACAGATATCCGTTTTCATGCAAATACTTAAAGGATGTGCAGTACTGACTTTAAAAATTGCGTTTCATTATAATTACAGGTAATTAGCATTATCATTCTATAATATATTCTAGCTCATAAGTAACATTAGGTAAAATAAAGGCATTAAGTAAAATAAATAGCTGAATATTTGAAATGCTTATTATTAATTTTATTATTTTATGGGTTGTTGTATTTTGGGGTTTTTTTCCGGAGCATCTGTCAAGCACAAAGAAATTGGGCAACTTATGAAGAGTGAAAGTAACATTCCATCTTTTATACAACATTGTTGGTTTACATAGAAATCAGAGAAATTTTTATACGAGATGTGTGTGATGCAATGCATACAATACAAACCCAGAGTGGAGCTAATATAAGCATTAAGACGAGAAAAAACAATTACATTATCTCAGTGTATGTTGCACCAACTAAAAATAGTATGGTTTTTAAAACTACAAAAAACCCTTCCAATGATGTCCATTACTTTAAGTTTACTGCAACAAACCAGGTAACCAAAACTATTATCAATGTATTCTTGCATAAGTTCAAGTCAGATATTTGTCAAGTTAGATATCTTCTTCAGCATTAATTTTAGAGCTTCCTCTAGCACTATAATAAAGACAGCCTTTTGCAATACAGTTAAGTACTTGCAAAGCAGACATTAAGAATAAACAGAAAAAAATGACCCATACCTTCTGCAATTGATCAAAAATATAAGATAGAGTCCTGGGAATGATGCCTCGATCATTGTAATGTTCTGCTCCTCCTGTGATGGTAAAAGTTTTGCCACTACCTGTCTGACCATATGCAAAGATAGTACCATTGTATCCTGCCAAAACACTATACAATAAAAATGGAGAGATAATTAATAGATAAAGCATAGCATATTTTCTACGATCAACTTTGTATAGAACCAAAATATAATTAACAGTAATACTTAATTACATAGCAATTCTCTTCAGTAATACAAGAATACACTTCCAGATATGTAATCTAAATTCAATGGAATTTAAACTATTTAGGACTGAAGGACTTTTTGGTATCTTGACTTACTCCATTATTCGATATCATCATTAGTTGATCATATTTATTACTATTTCCATTACTTTCGTACACTTTTTTCTTTGGCTGATGATTTTTTGCAATGATGATATTTAGTCTCTGAAAAGACTGTAGATGTCAGGAATTGTGACCATTAATACATTACAGCTGAAGCATCTAGAAATATTTCACTTATGGCTTCATTAATTGCAATGAGAAAAGACTGTATCATGGTTAGAAACTCATGTAAGGATACACTTATATAAGGGATCTTTTTTTATTTTAAGAATACGACTATACTAAACTATCAAGCTACTCCTAGCTTGGGCAAGGGTATGCAGGAGAACCAGTGCTTGTATCAGTGTAGTAAAGTCTTCATTTACTATGAAAACACACAAACCCACATCGGTAAAAACAAACCTTTCTGTCAGAACCGTGTCTGTACAAGAAGCTTCTGTGGAACAGTGACAGTAGCTATGCAATGGCATAGCTTGAAATTACATACAGATTCAATCATTTTTTTTCATACCTCTTACTTGTATTTGCATAAGTGTCTACACAAGAGTCTAAGTCAAATATCTTTCTCTAATTCATCACTCTCACTGTTAAATTCCACTTGATTTCCAACAAATAGTAGACAAGCTTAATGACAGTTGCAGAGCTGCACATCATGGAGGAAATGTGGGACTTTGCTGTAGCTGACGTACAGCTTAGCAGCCATGGCTGACTAAATGGAATTTTCAAGTTGTAACTCAATATATTTCAAGAATTTTGGTCCTAATTTTTTTCTAAAGTAGAGGGTTTTAAACAAAAAGCAGACCCCTAAATGATGATGATCTAGCTTCCACTACTGATAATTCAGTAAAATTTTAAGGAAAAATGTTTATATGCAAATACAGATTTTTTTTTTTTCCTTCTTATTAATGTATGGCAAAATTTCTTGCAATATTTATAAAGACAGAATCATATTTTTATCAAGTGAGGTCCCTTTGACAGGCTGATGTCTGAAATATAAATACATTTCATTTCTCCCTTGATATTAAAGTAAAATTTCAGGTATTCAGTGTTTCACAGTTGACTGCCATGCATTTCCCTTGTGCAGCTCTGTCTCAAAAGATAAAAATACTAAAATCTATTTCCACATTTCTAATTCCATTTCTTGTTAATTATTGTGAACTGTCCTGAACTTGAAAAATATTTTAAGTGCTCTAAGATTTTATGCTTCACACTGACTGACTATAAACAATGAGGTAAAAAAGATGGAGGACATAATTATTTTGAATTTTCACTTGTCTGTAAAAGCAAACAAAAATTGAATAAAATTATAAAAAATTATAGAATCACAAATTAAAACAGTTAATTACTGTAATAGTCATGAGAGTCTATAGTTGACAGGATATATGATAAATAAATCTAATTAGACTGTCAAGCTTTTTCTTTCCTTTCACTAGCTGTCAATTACAAAATGTTTCCTGGATTCACCTGTCTTGAAATTGTTCTACCACAATTCCAGCACCTCCTGACAAAATATATGGTGCATTGAAAAACACAATGTAATCAAGAAAGAATTGTTTTCTTGATACCAATTATCAGAAGCAAAATCTACTTTGGATTTGATTTAGTATTAAGGATCTACTAATTCTGCTAAAGAAAAAGAAAAGCTAAAATTATTCTTGTGCATTTTGTTTACTGAAAAAGTGATAAATAAGCTAAGATTTTTTAAAATAAAAAAAGGAGGTAAACAACCCTTGATTGAGAGGAAAAGAACCATGTATAGATAGCTGCTGGTCTGGCACCACAAGAGATGCAAAGGCTCTCCTACTTTTTTTAAGTTTATTTAAAGGCCTGAGTAGTTGCCAAATTGCTTATTTTAATCCATTACAGTAGGATGTCAGAGACAAAAACAGTAACATGTTGAAAGGAACTACACTGAACATCTGCTCCCAAAGACCAAAATACCCAAAGAAAGAGCATGTACAGTTTTCAGATTCCAGATGTTAAAAATCAAAACAATTATTGTTATAGAACACCTCATCCATCTATCTAGTGCCCGCTGTCACTGTATCTGAATGCTGAAGACAGTAATGAGTTGTCAGAAGGTAGGGGGGTATCAAAAGAAGCTGAGAGATGGCAGGTTCAAGCAAAGGGAAATGATTCTTCATACAAAATGTGAAACTGCTTGCAGTGGGATGTTTTGGATGCTAAAAGTTCACACAGGCTCCAGTAGAGACTCGACTAATTAATGAAAAAAAAAAAAAAATCTCAGGGCTACTAAACACAGAGAAATCAAAGTCCCTAAACTACAAACGACTACAGGCTAACCAAATACTTGGGGGAAGTAGCTCTACATGCTTATGCTGTTGGGTTTTTTTATCCCTGAGCTGTTACTCACTCTGAGAGATAACATACTGGGCTAGATGGAACTTTGGTCAGACCCCATACAGTTGCTCTTCTGTTTTTACATCTCTGCACTTTGTCTCTTCTAGATCTAGCATTTTTGGTTGTTAAGTTTTCTTTCTCCTTCTCCTCTTTAAAGTTGTTAAAGGTATATATTTTCAATTACTGTGACATGGCCTCTGCAGAAAGGTGTATTTTGCAATATGTCTAAAAAAGTGGTAAAGTTGTGTCTGCGAACTATTAACTTCAGGTCCCTGTACTTCACAAAAAGCTGTTGATTCAGATCACCACACATGGAAACATCAGATAAAACGTCATATACCATATGCTGTCAAAACAGCTACAAAAATCACTAAGTTTTCTTTGTGTTGATTCATTTATTTCTTATATTTATCGCAGTGCATCAGCACAGCTCTGAACAGTTTTCCAGGAAACATTGAAAGTTTAGAAGATGTGAATATATCAATGTCAATAATGTATTCTCATAGTCCAATGTAATTATAGGTAACATTAATATTGCATTGCATAGATGCACTTTGAAAGTCCTGGTTACAATTCCATAGCTGAGTTCCACTTTAAAATCCAAGATGAAAGTCAATCTTATCTTTTATGTATGTGTGTATAATTCTATGTATATTTGCATCCTGTCCATATTTACAGCATTCATTTCCTTCATTCAGAGTTTATTAAAACTAACAAGCATGCCAATTTAAAAGCCTGCTTGAGGTGCTAAGGAAACCTGCAAGGAAAGCGGACTACCAATAATATCAGTGAAACAAACCGCTCGCAAAGCCTTCTAAAAGTTAAGCACAACCCCTTGAATGCAATTCCATGATATTTCAAAAGTCATGTCAGTCAGGTGAAGTCCCTGGTGACCGGAAAAAGGGAAATGTTGCATCCATTTTTGAAAAGGGCAGAAAGAAGGGTCCTGGGAACTACTGACCTGTCAGCCTCACCTCTTTGCCTGGGAAGGTCATGAAAGAGTTTGCCCCAGAAGATATGCTAAAGCATATGGGTGACAGGGAGGTGATTCAAGAAAGCCAGCATGGCTTCACCAAGGGAAAGTTCTGTTCTGCAAAATCTGCTTTGCAAGATGTCACCCAGGCAAAGCCTGCACCTTTGCTCTTCAAATTCTCTGAACAAAAATCCCAAATCTTTTTTAAACTTAATATTTGAAAATACACAGGTTGACGTGGTTAGTGATGGTAGTCTTGTGAAGACTTTAAAATATGCATACATAAAAATCATACACTATAAGGGTATTTTCAGTCATACTTCCTCAGTGTTACCAGAATATCCAGCATTTGCATTTTTTTTTCTCCCTGGAAGCTGAGTTTTGGCATGGTTATGGAGATACTTTGTTGAATAAATTGTCTCTTTACTACTTCAAACAAAACACATCAAAGACATAATACAAGGAGAGGCTTTGCTAAAAAGATCTTTCATGAACTTAAGTGATGTTGTATAGCTCCCTGTTCAGAAGTTCATGGACTACTTCCAGACAGATTAGCTAAAATGTTGCTGGAGAAATGTGTCTCTGGTATATTTTAGCAAAGTTACTCATGGTATGATTGTCGGAGTTCCTGGCGGGCCTTCTTCTTTTAATAATACCAAGCTCAAGACTATAAAGCCTACTACAGAGAAAAATAAGTTTTTAAAATATTATTACTAAAACTTGTCCAAATTTGTACATTTGTTTCACTGGCTTAGGAAATTCAGAAAGTTGATTTTACTTACACACTAAAACATGCAGGCATATATTTGTAACACTTTGTGATAGACTTAGCTTTTACAAAAAGAAGAGAAAGTGCTATTCATCACAAACCACATAAAGCAATCTTTACATAGCAAAATGTGTATCAATTTTACCTACAAAAATATTTAGGGTTAGTTATAAACCAAACAAATACAGAAAAATAGATAGTAAAAAGTCAGTTTCTGACAAATAGTTTGTTATTTCAGCTTTGCTTCTACTGCGTTGACACCAAGTATGCCACGTTCCTATCTGGAAAATATGGACCAACTTAAATGTGTAAAGGAAAAACCTAAGCTGTCATGTGCATGAACAGCAAGTCTGACATGCTGGACATTGTACCTGTGAACAACAAAATCCATAAAATATGGACAAATATCATTGGCCTGAATTTTGACATGTAAAGAAGTCTCAAAAAAATTGGCCAAAACCTCAATTTCTGTGAAGACATGCTTTCCAGAAAAAAGATGACATTTCTGAGAAAACACAGACATATAATAGTTCTGCAAACAAACATATTTCAATCCCATTTAATATATTGAGCTGTCTTAATATCTTGTTATTAATATTTAGGAGTTCTTGGTTACATGACTGCCAAGAAAGGTCCCAAAAGGTCACAGTCTGCAAATTCGAATGCTTCAGAACAACT